CTGTATCTGCAGTACCTACTCCATATGGGGTAAGTGATACATAAAAATATAGTAGATAACTGCTTTCGATAGGTTTAGATAAATTGTAAAAAGAAAATAACAAGTTCATGGCAGTTAATTGCTACTTAAGGAATGTTCTGATCACTAGAGGACCTCTATGGCAGTTTTAATGGAGACTCAGCATAGACTGTAGTGAAATTAGACACTGGAATTTGAATATAAAAAAAAATTAAAGTCACAAAGGAAACTAAATGTACAGTCTCATTTTCCCATGTCAGTGTCAGGGTCTAGATGGAAAAGACTGAGATCCTTGAATCTGGAATATGACATTTGGGTAGATAAGCCTAGGAATCTAAATCCTGTAATTTCCTCAAGGTCTCCTAGCTGGTAGAAGTAGCTTTATCTTTTTTTTTTTTTTTTTTTTTGAGAGGTTTTCGCTATAGGGTGTGTGCACTCGCCAGACAGAGACATAGAGACAGAAAGCGAGAAATCGCCACCCAGGGGGATGGTCATGCCACAATTCCTTCTCCTCCATTCTCCTCTCGGGATCTTGGGCACGCACACACACACGCGCCCGGTGTGAGTTTTAAGCCACCGGGTCTGGGATGCGAACTGTGGTCGACTATGTGGGAGTCCAGCGACATAGTCATTACGCTAACTGCTGGTTCCCAAGTAGCTTTATCTTCCCATGAAAGAAGAATCTCTGCTTACCTGTGACCTGTGTAATGACTACACCAAAATAGTACATTTGCAAGGCCTGAGACCTGTGCTTATCACGTCTTATTGATTCTAGGCCAATAATCTGATCATATCTTAGCATTATTTGGGCATGGGAATATAGCCCCAGCTCCCATACCAAAGGCATTTCAAGATCTAAGTAATATATATGGGATCTTGAGTGAGTGAGAAGGAAGTAAATGAAGGTTGTTGGGAGTTTGGAATGGAAGAATTCTTTGATGTAGTCTTAACCCAAGATCAAAGGCAACATTTTTCCTTTTCCTATCCTTTTCTGTCTCATTTCCTATTTTCTTCCTCATCAGTAAAACTATTTTTGTTGTTATTGTTTAAATAGTTGTAGTACATCCATTCCATGACATACTCCAGCTATTTAAAGAAATGAGCTATATCTGTAAGGTAAAAGAAAGCCAAAAAACCATGCTTTAGTCATAAGTTCATACCAAAACCTCTGATTTCAATAATACCTGTGTCTAGGCCTCTGGCTATTAGTTTTACTCACCAGTAACAGTGGCTATCCACTTTTTTCAGGCCTTTTCATATCTCCTACCATTTGCAACAGGGCTTTTCTATTGCTATGGAGCTATCACTGGCAAGGGGATCCATTTAGTGCTCATGCACTGGTAATCAGGAATTGCAGGGAAAATGAATGTCCCATACGGTGAATGAACTTTTGGCATATGGGAGAAATGAGGTGATAAACGCATTTTTCTCCCCTTTATCTCAGAGATTAACTATCCTAAGATGAAATGGTTGATATAACCTCTAGGGAGGTGATCCCATGATATCACAAAATCAGGTGCAATTAACACCCACTGCAGCCAGTCCAGTAATGTATTCCATCATATCTATCCTCCTTTCTTCTCTGACTCACACCTACTTCGCTAGGACTGTACTTGCTAACAAATTTGCATATCAGTTTTTTCTTTAAGCTATAGGAAACTAAACCAAAAGTAGATATTTGTCATATAATATTGTATGAAAAAGTTATAAGATAGTATGGATAATTACAAATGTTATGTAAAAAAAAGTGTAGAAGCATAGATACATATTTAAACATATTCCTTATAAAGTTGAAAAAAGAAGTCTTGATGAAGACATTTGTTTTTGAGAAGACATAAAGAAAAGAGTATTTACTTCTACCTCCTTATTTAAGAAAAGATAAGTCATCTATTATTTTTATACTTTTAAGGACTACTAATTAAGAAATATAAACTCATATTACAGTATAATACTTTAAATGGCACATAGTGCAGATTTTTATATTATTGATAAAGAATTGTAGACATTGGAAAGAAGTATTTTTTTTAAATACTGTTTTTCTATGCAAAAATCGGTCATGACTTTTCCAACAACCCAATAGCTTGATAATTATATCATTATCTAAGTAAGAAAAAGGCCAGGGTTTATACAACCAAGATCAAATTCACCTCCATGTGGGAGGATTCCAGGGTTTATATATCCAGAATAGGCTGATCTATTAATATATCCCACAAAGAAAGACACTAGCTACTCTGTGGTAGGAATGTAAAATGGTACAGTTGTTCTGCAGTCTCTTACCTCCTTCCCTCTCGACTTCCCTCCCTTTTGAAGTCTACTAAGCAAGAGACAGAGAGACAAAGAGAAAGACAGATACCCTTAATAGGGTCTTATGTCATAATCCTCTCCCTAGCTTTCCCCACCAGCTAGCCATGATCAGGAGCACTTGTATGTACTATCAACATGTACGAGTCTACTAGGAAACTAAACCCCAACCTTCCATATGGCTCCAGTATATTATGGTGATATACTACCATTGTGCCACTATGACTGGTATCTGTGTACCTTTTTTTTTTTTTCTATAGGGAGCATGTGCTCACCAGAGAGAGAGGGAGAGAGATGGGTAAAGTAAGAAAGCACCCCTTCCCTTGGGACCAGCATTTGGCATAATGGCTATATTGCTGAACTCCCACATAGTCAACCACGGTTCAAGTCCTAGACCTGGTGGCTTAAATGCACAGCAGGCCCATGTGCGTGTGTGTCTAAGATCCCGAGAGATGAATGGAGGGATTGTGGGGTGGCCATCCCCCCTGGGGGGGGTGATTTCTCGCTTTCTGTCTCTCTGTCTCTCTCTATCTGGTGAGTGTGCATACCCTATAGCAAAATCATATCCAAAAAGAAATAAAGAGAAAGCACTCCTTCCCCCAGAAGGGGAGAGCCATGCTTCAATCCCTTCTCCTCCTTTGTCCTCTCAGGATTTGTGGCATGCATACTTACTGGAGTGGTTTCTCATGCTGCCAGCTATTGGACTTGAACTCACATTACAGGCCATGTGGTAGCCAGCCACCATAACCACCATGGTATCTGGCTGGCCCTGGCCTGGGCTTCTCTTAAATCACTATATGTACAACCATCATACAACTCAGAAATCACAGTTCTGGGCTTACCTTAATGGAATGAAAATTTAGGTTTGCACAAAAGCCTGCACAAGAATGTGTTAGCACAAGTCATAATGGTGAAAAACAGGACACATGGGCTACTCTGTCCGGGTTGTTAAAGGAAGGCAGATTCCACATGGCTGACCACTGTATTAATTTAGACCCTGGTGACTTGATAAACATTAGACATGTAAGCATGAATGTCCCAAGTCCACAAAAGATGGAGAAATGGAGAAGAAGGAATTAGAATGTGGCCATTGTTCATGGGGAATGGAGTATTTTCTCCCTCTCCCTCTAATTTCTTTGGTGAGTGTACAAACCCTTTGGCAAAATTTTTTTAAAAAATGCAACAACTCATTGTCCTTTCAATGATTTATCGGTTATATCCACTGTGGTACATTCATACCATGAAAGAGTAACTCACTAACATACAGGAAAGAGAGTGCTGACACAGTTGTACTATCAGAAAACTCACTTCCTAGTATGGAAAACTACTGGTCAGGGTTTATAAAGTATCATGCTGGATAAATCTTGAGAGCCAGTGCTGGCAGGAAAAAAGCCAACTCCCCCAAAGTTTCACTATACAATTCCATTTATATAGACTTCTTGAAATGGTAAAATTCTATAAATGAGGAGTAGCTTAGTGGTTGCCAGGCAGTAGGGGAACTGAGCTGGAGGAGAGGGAACAGCAACCAGAGGACAGTGCGAGGTATTCCTGTGTGAAGAAATAGCCCAAATGTTTAGTGTACCAAGGTATGTCTCCCAGATGATATCCACTGGGGAAAGCAGGTAAAGGGTACCCGTGGATATCTCCATATTATTTCTGACACCCACATGTGAATCCACCATGAATGACAAGAAATAGTTTAATTAAAGGGAAGAAATAGAATTGAGCTCTTCAGTATTTACACAGGACCTGAGAATTAGGAATCCCAGCAGATCAGTCTGGAGGCTGACTTCTACCCATGGGAATGTCATGCCTTTCATATCAGAGACATTCTCCCAATGCCACAAGTCCTAGAGTTGGTTCAAAAAGAAAACCAGGGCCAGCAGATGGCATGATGGTTACATCACTGGACTTCCACATAGTGAACTTCAGTTTGGGTCACGGACCGGGCGAATTGAACTTGGCACTTGCCCAAAATCCCATGAGGAGAATGGGAGAATGGAGGAGAAGGGATTGCAGTGTGGCCATCCTCCCTGGGGGGAGGGGTGGGTGGGGTTCTCACGCTCTCTCTCTCTCTCTGTCTCTCTGCAAGCTCATGCGCCCTATAGCAAAAAACTATCAAAAAAAAAAAAAGATGAAGAAAAAAGAGAATCAAGTTAGCATTGACGAAATTCTCAACCAGAGATGTGAACTTGTATAGAATAAGCCTTCAGCAGCGAGAGACATCCAGATGAGACTGCAGCTTCCATTATTGGTAAAACAAAGAGAGGGGGCTGCAGATAGGTTGCGCCTAGCAGCGGCCTAAAGTCGTGCTATCTGAAAGCATGCAAGGACTCATTCTCGGAAAGAGGGCCTTTCCTCTACAGCGGCGAGGGGACAGGGGACCAGGGCAGTGGGAGCCCCCTGGGCTTCTGCACCTCCCTTCCGCCAGGTGGAGCCAAGCCCGCCCGGGCGCCTGCCCAGTTCAGAGGTCACGTCCTGGGTTCAAGTAAGCTTCGGCTGAGGAGAGCTTCGGAGCCCCGGGAATCCCCCAGGCTCCTCCCCGCCCACGCCCCCACGGAAGGCAGAAGCGGCCCCACGCCCACCCACTCGTTCCCGCGGTCTGCCCTCTTCCTGACCTCCCTCGGCTGTCCTGAGAGAAGGCAGGCCTCAGCCGCCCACCCACCCTGCCCTCAGCCACCATGGCCCACCTGAGGGCCTGCGAAGTCCGGCAGCTGCTGCACAACAAGTTCGTGGTGGTCATGGGGGACTCGGTCCAGCGGGCCGTGTACAAAGACCTGGTGCTCCTGCTGCAGAAGGACTGCCTGCTCTCTTCCAGGCAGCTGAAGGCCAAGGGCGAGCTGAGCTTCGAGCGGGACGTGCTGCTGGACGGCGGCGGCTGGGGCCGCATGCACAACGGCACCCACTACCGCGAGGTGCGCCAGTTCTGCACGGGCCACCACCTGGTGCGCTTCTACTTCCTCACGCGCGTGTACTCGCCCTACGTCCAGGGCGTCCTGGAGGAGCTGCGCACCGCACAGCACGCCCCCGACCTAGTCGTCCTCAACTCCTGCCTCTGGGACCTCTCCAGGTACGGCCACGACTTCCGCAGGAGCTACCCCGAGGACCTGGAGAGCCTTTTCCGGCGCCTGAACCAGGCGCTGCCCGAGTCCTGCCTGCTGGTGTGGAACACGGCCATGCCCGTGGCCGAGACTGTCTTCGGGGGCTTCCTTCCGCCCGAGCCCCATCCCCGCGCAGCCCGCCTGAGGGAAGATGTGATGGAGGCCAACTTCTACAGCTCCACCGAGGCAGATCGGCATGGCTTCGACGTGCTGGACCTGCACTTCCACTTCCGCCACGCAGGGGAGCATCGGCAGCGAGACGGCGTGCACTGGGACGAGCGCGCGCACCGACACCTCTCGCAGCTGCTGCTGGCCCATGTGGCAGACGCCTGGGGCGTGGACCTCCCTGGCCGGGCCACAGTAGGCAGGTGGATCAGAGATGGCCCCGCGGCAGGAAGAATGCAGCCTTCAAACAGCCGAGGTGATCCAGAAGAAGAAGCTTTGTCCTTACTCCCGCGCCCTCCGCAGTGCTCCGGCGCATCTCGTCGACCTTCGGTTCCCTTCTTCCAGGCTCAACCACTGCGTCCAGGCACCGGTTTGCGCTCCAGTCTACCCTTACAGCACCAGCAAGAGTCAGGCGACTCTTCCATGCGCCAAATAGGTTATACCAGGGAAGCAAATTCGATGGTTAGCCTCCAGTCGCGGCTGGGCCCCATCCGCACAGCTTCTTCCTGGCACAGAGGCCAGGGGTCTCCCCCATATCCTCCTCAGCACCGCAGCAGTGGGCTACGCAGAGGCCAGCGGAGGCGCTCGAACAGAAGGATCCGAGCGAATCAAGAGACCAGGCCTCAGTAGCC